TGTAAAGCACTAGCCAAGGGGGCATTGCTGCCCCTGCCGTTCTTCTGAGAGATGATGTGTTGTGAGGTGGATGTTCTCATGGTGACCACTGCAGATTGTGTGTACATTTGTGTTTGTTCCCGGAAGGACAGAGAGTGGGAGAAGGGTCTAACCCTCTTTCTTTCTCCTTCCTCTTCTCAGAGATGTGGTGACTCTGAAGTGGTGGATGAGAAGGGCTCCATCTCATCAGGCTCCCTGTCAGCAGTCAGCGCTCCGGTCTTTCAGGATGTCCTCATGCAGTTCTTGGATACCCAGGCTCCCGTATTAAGTAGGGGTTCTCCTGTGCCTCCCCTCAGGATCTGGGCTATGCTGAGCCCAGAGGAAGTGTGACAGCCCTGGTTGCCTTTGCTTCTCACGAGGGTAGTGCTTGAGGCAGCCAGGCAACCGGTGCTCAGGAGTGGGCTGGGCTGCTGCCTTGCTCACCTGTTTTCTCTTTGTCCTTCCTTGGCAGGCGACCCCAGCAATGAGAATGAGAAGGTGGAATTCTTCAATCTAGTCCTGCTGTTCTGTGAGCTGATCAGACACGACGTCTTCTCTCACAACATGTACATGTGCACTTTGATCTCCCGTGGTGACCTGGCCCTGGATGTTCATGGGCCCCGTCCCCCCTCGCCATTCGATGACACTGCTGAGGAACATGACAGGAAGGAGGGAGAGGGCAATAGCAGCATCAAACTGGAGGTGAGATGTCAGGAAAGGCATGATGTCAGACTCTTGGGAACCCGTGTATTGCTTGTGGCACTCATAGGGGTTGAATGACTCTGCGCTGTTTCCTGTCTCTTCCAGGATATGGGCCTGTCAGAGTGCCAGATGGATATTGACCAGAGCTCCAGTGTGATTTTTGATGACGTGGAGAAGACGGATTTCTCGGTACAACCTTGTTAGAGTCCCCTTGGCTGGGCACTTGTAACTCTGCAGTGTGCCTGGCAGTTTTTCTCACAGGCATGTGCAGGAGTGTTTGAGAGGCAGCCTCTGTCTTTGGTTTTGTGTGACTAGTGGAGAGGGAAAATCCGTAAGGACTGTCATCCCTAAAATGCTTTTATTTACACATCTGAGACTGCTGAAGCCAAGGATGAAGGATGGGACCTGGCATGGCCAGTGTCTCTCTCGTGGTAGTCAACAGGGCAAAAATGGTCAGGTATTCTTGATGGACAGAAAAAAGTAATTGAGAGCTTGGCCAGCCTGGTCCTTAGGTGTCCCCTGGTTCTTGGCATGCTGTGAAGGAAAGGCCTATTTTGCTTGGGCATGTTGGCCTGGTTGATGGCCATGTGTTGCGACTCCTTCCTGAGCTGACTTGTTGGTAATGTTCCTTCCGTGCCACTTCACCAGACATTCTTGCTTGTCTGTTCCTAGATGTTTTCTCCTCCCATGCACTGCGAATCCAAGGCCAGTCCTTCCCCTGAGAAACTGGATTCTGAGAAGGACAGCAAGCCTCTTTCCTTCTGAAAGACAGGGTTGCAGATGGATTGCTGGCATCGCTCTACGAACAGCCACGGCACATCCAGTATTCCACACATTTCCCCATCCCTCAGGTAGGAGAGAAACCAGCCCGTGAGTTGTTTTGCATGAGAACAGGGTTCCGTGTGTGATAGTTCATAGGAGTAAAACTGGTTGGCTTCCCTTGTTGACTTTGGGTTCAGACTGTGTTTGTGTTGGTCCTTTCAGGCCTCTAAAAGCATAGAAAACCACTGTGGTTTAAAAGGAAGTCTGTTTGGTGTGTAATGTCATAGGAGTTCCTCTTCACTCCTTCCTTGGGGACAAGACTTTTTCACTTTCCCATTGTCACCCCTTACTTTTTGAGATATGCAGTG